TCCAGAAATAGTTTTACGGTGAAAACTAAGGGCAAATTTTGCATTGTGGTATGTGGGCAAATGGTCTTATGTGGGATATTAGACTATCATAAGTGTTCCCTAAAGAGAACACTGTAAGATTACATGGGAGAGAGATCAGCATGAATTTCTAGGTGTTTCATTTCTTATGTATTTATCTGCCTTGTAAATTTATATACATATCAATAGCTTGTTTTATAAGAATTATTGGGTGTATAAAATATCGACCAATTCTCCAGGTGAAGAACAGAAGTACAAGAAATACTAATTTCCTAAGTTCATACTTCTAGTCTTTGGCTGGCTCTGTTTGGAATGTATTTACTATTTTTTTTTTTTATTACCTTTCTTACCTATTGACACCCATACCTCTGGTCTTTGGCTGGCTCTCTTTGGAATGTATTTACTATTTATTTTATTTTTCTTATTACCTTACCTAATGACATCCTATCTCATTAATTTAAAAGAAAATTAGGAAATGCTTTTTAAATTCCACAAAATATTTGATTTAGTTTTTCACATACAAGGGAAACAATTAAGGAAAGCACTCATGTAGCAGGGAAAAAGATAATCTTAGAATCATGAGAACTTTAGTTCAAGATCAATATGTAGTCCTCTGTACATGTAACACTATCAGTACTTGAAGAATTGGGAGTTGGAATTGCATGTTACTTGAAGGATCTAAATATTGGTGCACAACAGTTGTACATGATTTCATGTTTATGTAGCAAAATGCACTGAAATATACTAGTATTGAAATATAAATGTAAAGATAGTTGTGAAAATTGTCTATTATATTTTCCTTGTGTGTCTCATTTGTTTAGAGCATAAAATTTCTTTTTAAATTGTTCTTACTGAATAAGGCTAAATGAATACTGTCATTGAAAATATATTTTAGGTCTCTGTCATGAGTTTTTGTTTTTTTTTTTTAAAGAAGCTATTGCAAATTGTACCATCCTGATTACACAGAACTTTGTGGGCAGTTTTAAATAATTTTATACTTCTTTAAAAAAAAAAAAAAGTTTTGCCTTCTAAGAGTTTAAGGTATGGCAGCACATGCCTTAGTCCCAGGATCTCTGTGAGACAAGGACAGCCTGGTCTACATAGCAAGTTTCAGGCCAAAAAACCAAAAAATAAAAAAAAAAAACCAACGAAAACAAAAATTTTAGGGAAAAGTTTTCCTTTGACAAATCAACTCAAAGATTTTTACCAGACAGGTAACAACTCTGATCCATCAGGAAGGAGAGGGTAGAACTGTTAGGCACAAAAGTTCCTGGATTCAGGAACTTAATAGGTGATTTTGTAATTCTAAAAATAAAACAAAAAGGTTCACAACTAATTAGATTTGTGAAATCTATGGACAAAAGCTGTAAGACAGGAAGAAAAAGATGCTTTTGCTTTTATTTTTGAGACAGGGTCGCAAGTAGCACAAGCAGGCTGTAAACTTGAAATGTAGTAGATGATGATGTTGAACTTCTGATTCTCCTGCCTCTACCTCCTGAGGGCTGGGATGACATGTGCACCACCCACCATTCCCACCTTATGTGGTGCCGGGGACTGAACTCAGAGCTTTGTACATGCTAGACAAGTGCTCTACTAAGCTGGCTGAAAAAGAGTTTGATACTTCTAATCTGAGACAATCTCATATTCCTGTCTGCCTATATTTTTGCAATTCTACTGAGGATATTCCAGCTGGAGAGAACTAACATGTACTCCAGTTTCTTTTAGAAC